AGAACACGAGGGAAATGTAGAAAACACGAGCCGCAGGCGAGTGATTTCTGCATTTCTCGAGTGTCCACGCTTTTTCTATGTTTGATACTCTGATGAAACATGGGTTTTTGACCAATCAAGTCCAATCAGGAGCCATAATCGGGGAAGGAGACCGTAAGTCTTGGGATCCACGCGCACCTACGATATGGGACAATTTTGCTATTTTTAGAAGAGTATAAAAAGGAAATTTAAGGCTATAAATTAAAATGTAAGGATGTTTTCGAACTCACCCTCCGCATACGTTGGACGAAGCATTATTGAAATCCAAGACAAAAAAAAAAAAAAANGATTTAAAGGCTATCAATGAAAATGTAAGACATTTTGGAACTCACCCTCCGCTTGCGTTGGACGAAGCATTATTGAAATCGATGACACGAAAACGAGGAGAGCAGAAACATTCATTTTTACACCGGAACGAATGTCTTCAGTTCTCAAGTCTTGTGGGAGAAGTGAGGATAGCATAGAGATAGCACCCCCTGGAGATGTGTAGTCGAGATAGCGCTAGCAGCTCATTGTAAGTCAATATAGTGTAATAAAAGATGGTGTGTTGTGTCACGGGGGTTGGCAAACGTGGCAACTGTGACAGGTGAGCCATTCAGATCGATTTCTGCTCATGTCAGTTTGACTCCACCTGCTCTAGCTTGGTGTTTTCGTTTAAATTACGCACGTATAACGTGAGCTAAGTATTTCGATCTGTGGGTTTGTAAGCTTCGTTTCAGGAATTTCTTTGATTGCGTGCTGTTTACAGGTGAATATTTCTTTCAATGAAAGATACGATTTTTAATCCTCCTCCCAAAAGGTCCAAACTTATGTTTTTAACAATCACTCAGTTAACCAAGTCATTATCCACGATGCTTCTGAATTTGCTTTGCAAGATTAAACATTGATTTCGTTAATTTTGGCTTCATATGTTTTTTTGTTCAAGGTAGCTTTGTTTATGATCGAATGCATATCTATGTCAGAACGTCATTACGACTTCGAGATAGGCTTATATTTAAATTTCGAACATTCTATTCTGCGGCCTTGCATGCACATTAGATTTTTAAAGCAACTGAATTTGAATTTATGCTTTTTCCTTTGGCAAACAGATTGTACGCTTCTAATTTTGCCATTCGCGTGAGGCGCTTGTAACTTAAATGTGACAAACTTCATTCATTTTTCCGAAGAAAAAAAATGAAAATAAATAAAACAAAGTGAAATTATAATCATTATGGCACGTGTTACAATTTAACTCCTGGTTTCTTGGGGGTCAACTGGCTTAACTATCCACAGCCTTTACTGTCAAATTACTGAAATTATTTTGTGAGTGATTTTGAAGCGCTAAAATAGTGCATTTAATTAGGAGGAACACCTTGGTTTTAAAAACTGTCTCTTTACGTGCGATTTTAGTCCGAATTAAAAAAAAGGTGGTGAAAAGGGATGCATAAATCAATAATAGAAAACATGACAACACCGAAGATAATTCGGAGTCAGATGATTGGCTAACAAAAAGAGAACACTTGCAAAATTTCTTGCGAAAAAAAACTTACAAAATGTCTGGAAGAGATTTCTTCTGCTGGTTTCGTAATATGTACATTATATACACATAAAATACCAGCTCAACAAGCTGCAACAGAAATCAGCAGCCTTGGAACTTCCAGAGATGAGATAATTTCTTTTGTCAAATTCGCCATATTGTACCTAGCGCCGTTCCACCACCGTCATTCCATATCAGCCGACATTTTCAGCCGTGCAAGGAATTCATAATTCTCTCCTCTCTACCCGTCCTGTACAGGCGCCTGACGCTATCGCATTCATTGGTACTACGGCTAAAACCGTGGCGACAAAGCTTTGCCACGCCTTGCGTAAATATTTCATAGCTTCGCCTGCTCCGTTTCGCAAATTCGGCTCAACCTCTATGGTTTGTGTCTTTCGAAATAGCCGCTAGTGTGGCTACAAGCGTTTAGTACATTTTTGTAAAACTCTCTCAAGAAGTCTACTACTAGTTTAGTATGTAATTTTAAATTGAGAAAATAAAAAAAGTAAAACAAAAATTGTAAATGCAAAAGAGGAATGCTTCCCTTTGCAAAACTGGTTAGTTAAGCCACTTCATACAATCTGCTTATACAATAGAGGCTACGCTTTGCTCCTCAGTTAAATTTACAAGAAGTTATTATTTTATACAAAATTGATTACATTTGCTGTTTCCCTTCTATCGTGTCTAGGATGTCAACAATTTTTTAAATTTTGTTGTTATTGTTGTTTAACTGAACTGGGTAATAGCCAACCACGTTTACTAGAGAACTTTCGGTATTCCCGATTGGCAATTACACTGTTGTTGTTGTTGTTGTTGTTGTTTAAAAAAACAAACAAACAAACAAACAAATGGAATAAAAACAATAAAAAAAAAAACAATGATACAAAACAAAATTCTCACTCCAGCAAACCAAAAACGAGTTATCCCTATTGTATACGGTCTATAATCAACAATATTAATCAAAATTGGTTGAAAAAAAAGTGTTCATAAACTACTTTTAAACAAATCAAACAAAACTGATAAGAATAGCTGTTCTCAACAGAAGACAAAGTTATGGTTGTTCCGTGCAATCAAGAAAAATTGCTACTCCCGCTTTCTAATCAAATTTCTTTGTAAAATGTGTCGTTTTGAGGAGCGGTAGTGATGAAAGTTTTAAATAACCCTCACTTTTCCAAAAATTACAGAAACGACAGAATATTGATGAAATTATCAAATTTCAAGTTGATCGAAGTTTCCAGCTTTCTTGCATAGGTGTAAGTATTTTCTTTGCTAATTTTTTGAGGACTTAGAGTTTGTAACTTGTTGTCAGAACTAGACAGAAAAAAGAAATGGCTAAAGATTATAAAACTGAAATCAAAAGTATAACGCTAATTTTTGACCAGCTTGGTCGTGCTTTGAACAACCAAACCTTGGTTAAGTTTTACTGTAAGTTATAATGTCAGGCAGTGTCCACTCTTATTCAGCTAAACCACAAATCGCATGTGCTATGGCTGGATTAGTCTTACTCTAATGAAGAATGATCTGTCACAACAGCCTCCAAAATAGTGAATGCAAACTTTTCTTCTGACTTTAGCCTCAGCTACTGTAGGATGGCCGCCACTCAACCACGCAGGGAAGTTTGCATCACATCTGTTCCTCGGTGGACATTTCGCCGTTGCCATTTTTGTGCCGGCAGCTCCTCGGATACGACACCGGGCTTTTTGTGCTGACCGCGGTTTACTGTTACATAGTCATATTTTCTTTGTGCATCTCTCGGAGTTTTGTAATTCTTACATATGTCAGCTATAGAAAATAAACAAAGAAGTACGTAAATAATTCTTCCGTCTTTAGAAGCGTCTTTCGTGCTGTGTTATTGTTTGTTGTAGGACGACCAAGATAGCCGCTTGATTTGTCCAGCTTAGCATTACGAAATGCTCCATGTACAGGATCGTACAGGACCTGGCAATTTTTAAACCTTTTGTGTATCAGCGATTCCGGGAACGTTTTCCTGAAGACAATTCTATCTGTACCTTCAGAAGCCTAAAATCTTTTTGCGAAGAAACACTGTGCACATTGTTTGAACGCTGTGTCTGATTAACGGTCCAAAATAAGACAAACACATATAAATGCAGAGTATTCTTACCTGAAAGCTCCAGCTCCCAACCAGAACGTTTTCGATACGTTGTGTGTGCGTAGTCGATAAACACTCGATCATTGGAGAGAGCAGGATTTAGCTTCGCTGGTCGTTCGGTATCGTTTAAGTCCAAAATGAGACCAGCAGACGTTCGATTATAGCGTTCGTGTAAAACCGAGAGAAAATGGATATCATACGTTTGTCTATTAATTTTGTGACTATGAATATCGGACCGACTTCCGTTCGACTTCCAGTTACAGACGACCGAATAGTTCCGAACACAATCCCAAAATTAGACACTCTACTTACTTACGCATATGATAACATAGTGGCTAGTGTTGCCTAGCAACAGTAGCCACACAAACTAATGATAAAAACTGTGTTGCACCTTCACAATGAAGACTGTTCTTTACAACTCTATCTTTGCACTGGCGGTTGTACGATCCATCCGTATTCTTGCACTCAGAGTTGGCAACAGGATCACATGGGTTGACCTGTGCAGCGCACTCGTCGATGTCTAAAAACAAAGGAGTGTAAGTGTTAGCATTGAAATGTCACAACGGATGGTTCAGTGTCCCATAACGAGCACAAAAATGAATTGTGGTGAAAAGAAACTACGTACAGTAACAAGAGAATATAACCAAAACAGAATCAGAAAAGACTTTAACAAAGCCTTCAGTATGAAAGAAATTACTAGAACTGGCGCCTGAAATCCACTCCAAAACCTTCACATTTCTTAGATTCTTACACGGAACATAGATTGCCCCAAGCCTAAAAGCAGAGTCCCTGGGTCAGGCTATTCAAAGCCCGATTAAGCTAGCCCACGTTAAGCGAGAATTTTGATTCGAGTTTTGTAACTTTGCGGTGAGGGTTTCTGTATATTGTCTGGCCTTCTGTTTTTGAGTTTGAATAACCTCAAACTACACAAGACAAAAGCAGTTAAAATCACTTGTGTACAAGAAAAAATTTATACTTTGGTTAACTTTTAATCCTGGGTTAGCGTTAACCGGCTTCCTGACAACCCGGCCCTGATAACAACAAGTTAACCTAATATGAGCCATCGATCCAGTCGAAAACCCAGCACCTGGTCAGCGATCAAATTAAAAAAAAAACATGACCTCGGTGAGATCTAAACTTCAGCCAGTGATATGGTCACGCGATACTGGTCATCGCATGCCTTGTTTTGACAGGTGTCACTTTTGACCGTAACAGCGATGTCCAATATCAAAGAAGTACGCTGTAAACCAATGCTGCATGTCTCTGTCAACCATTAGCTGCAGTATGGCCGCCATCTTGCGCGACTCCGTCGTCGTCGCCGTCGCCGTCGCCGTCGTTGTCGTGCGAATGCGCCCGCGAACAATACCGCTAGCCATGATAACCATGTGAAAATCAATTCATCATGGGTTTCCTTTTCTTTCCTTTATAAGCATGGTCTTCGCTTCCGGAGCTCCACTATTAGCCGGTAATCGTGAGGCTGGCTAACAGGAAATTGTCAGTGGAATTAACTCCACAATGCCGTCATCTGTTGATCGATTGTCGAAATTTCAGCCCTATTACTGGCACGTAAGGTTACCTGATGTTATCTGCAGCGATTACCGGTTTCCCATTGTGTTCCATTAAAGCCATTAAAGAAACTTTGAATCCTGGGTTAGCGTTAACTAGCTTCCGAACAACCCGGCCCTGATTACAAGAAGTTGACCTGACATGAACCCTAGATCTTATCGAAAAACAAGCACTTGGTCAGCGGTCAACTTCAAAAAACACGTGTTCTCCTTAAGCTTTAAACTTGAGCCCGCGATATGTTTACCTGATACGGGTCAGCGGATACCTTGTTGTGACTGCTGTTAATTGACCGTGAAATGGATGTCCAATACCAAAGAAGTACGCTATACGGACCAAGGCTGCCTGTCTCTCTAAACCCATTAGCTGGAGTATGGCCGCCATCTTGCGTGACTCCGCCGTCGTCGCCATCCTCGTCGTCGTCGGGCGTAGGCGCCCACGCGCAATACCGCTAGCTATGATAACCATGAGAAAATAAAGTCATGGATATCCTTTTCCTTCCTATTTAAGTATGGTCTCCGCTTGGCGGCCCATTGGGCCGCCGGAGCTCCGCCATTAGAGAAATCGTGTGGTTGGCTAACAGAAAATTGTCAATTAAATTAACCCCACAATTCTACCATCTGTCGACAATTTCTGCCCTATTACTTGTACGTGATATTACCTGATGTTATCTGCAGCGATTGCCTATTTCACATTGTGTTCCATTAAAGCCGTTCATTCGTCAAGGTAAATAAAGGTTGTAATAAAGTTGTTGTAATAATAAATTTTGTCTTAACGTGCAAATACTTCCTCGTTTCATTTCCCCTTCCCGGCAGGTGTAAGTTAGGTCCTGGAGCCAGACCAATCCGGGTAATACCCTCTCTAGCTGCTGTCACCCCCTCCCCCTCCTCCCCCATACTAGAGGTGCTGTTATAACCCAGGGACTTTACCCTCAAGTGTGTTTAACACGTGTAACTTCGGGTTATGTGTTCTGCTCACTGTCTAATTGCTACAAGGAAATATGCTGGAAAGAAGGAATTCAAACATTTCTGCTGGAAAAATAAAACAGATAAAAGTTTCCCCGCAACTAGAAAAAAGACTTCTCTCCTGGTTTTTTCCTAGGCCATAATAGTCAAAGACGAATTGCTCTTCGTCTGCCCATTTCTAGTGACACTCAATTGTTTGTGACTCAATCGTTTGTGAACATTGCTAGTGATGTTATCAATTACGGTTACCTGTTTCACATTGTGTCCCATTAAATCCTGGTGCACAGCTGCAGTCGAATCCGTTCACTCGGTCTATACAGGTCCCGTTGTTCTTACAGGGATGACTTGCACAGTCATCGATGTTTGTTTTTAATAGGATAAGGTAGAAAGTTAATAACGGTCATATTCGACAGAACCCACAGCAAAAATAACTGCGAAATAAGCAACGGCAACAACAAAAATATGTTTCTGATTTTGTAAATCCAGAGCGTGTAATCATAACAACAGCCTGGAATTTGAGGCATTTTATAGCAGTGAGGAAAGACTTACGGGAAGAGGCGGAAGCAATAAATCAATGTAATACCCCGAACGTCCAATTACCTAGTTTAGACCTATCACAACGAGCCAGAACTACCTCGCCAGCAATTGCCGCTGACTGCATCTTCTCCTTCACTCGCCCTGATCTCGGCGCACGACTCAGCTGGCAACTCGGCAAGGGATCCAAGAGGAACTAAAAATAGAAAAGTCAAAAACTTTGTTTTTTAGCGCTTTTCTGTCATTACTAAACACCACTATTGTTAAGTTCTCTTGAGGAAAAAACTGCGGGCCTTATTTGCAGTTTTCGGGATCGATAGTAGAGATATTCTAGGCACATTTGTATAAAATACGATTACCATTCTTAAAAAAAGGGTTTAGATAAACTCACAAAGAAGAATAATACCTCTTTCCCTGGATCGTTTAATATAGAACCGATCTCTTTCCGGAACAAAATCTTCAGGTCTGGCTTCTTTGGTGCGGTTGTTCAACTCACATATGCCTTGGCTGATGACAAAGTTAAAGCTTTGACATCTGACGTCATCGTCACACTTGTCTAAACAAGTAAGCCAGATTCCATTCTTCTCCTCGATGAAGATATGTCCTTTTAACATCATGCCGCGGATAGAAATTTCGCCTCGAATTAAACATTGCTGAGCGTCCAGTTTATTAAACATCTGAGACATCAGCACCATGATGGTCATACTCATGCCTGGTTCTGATGGTGTGAAATGTGTAGAGAGAGAACAAGATTGAGTCTTGCATTATATATCATTCTTGCACCTTACTCAAGAAATTAACTGTTAGATGCAAGTGAGCAATGGCCTAACCTAGGAAGCCTTGTTTAGCTAGGCTAAGTCTTGAGAGGCTTTTATTTGGCGCCGTACATCGGTGTCTAACTGTCAATCTTGAAATCAAAACCATAATCGTGAAAAAGGTAACAGTAGTCTTTAATTTCATAGTATTGGTCGAATTCTGGGCTTGTAGATAAAAAGATAAACAAACAAAGGGATAGTCCAATTAATAGAGACAATAAATAAATGCAAGAGATTATATAATCTCTTGATAAATGTAGAATAGCTCAAAGAGAAGCTAAGTGCTGTCTCCCTCAGTTAAGGTCCGTAACCGTGGAGCCGCTGGTGACGGAATCATTCACCCACGCAAAGGTCGTGGGTTCGAATCCCGTTCAGAGCCTGAAATTTTTTCAGGTCATTTTTCCAGTAGTGTTATGGCTGCATTCGCATCCTTCATTCTTTCATTATTTAATTGCTACCGATGGACATCTATTACCATTTACTCCGAGTGGTGGCTTGACTCCACCGGAAAAAAAGGGAAAAACTCAGACGCATACATGCATGTTTCAGTATGGTTGTCGTAGCAATGTCAAATGATGCGAGAAACAGCTGGAACATCAAAACTTGATAGGTGAGGGAATGAGCGATGGTTTTTGTTACTAATTGTTTGCAAGTTGTCTTTTTTTGCTCAAAAAAACCATAACTTGTATTGGTATTACGTTGTGATAATGCAAAGTAGAGTCATCTTACGATCTGTCTACGATCATTGATTGAACAATGACACATTGTTCTGTTTTCTAAATTCATTTTTTGGGCAGAAAGTGGAAATACAATAACAATTGCCGGCTTAGACTACTATATTTAATTCCAGTTGATAATTAGCAACATGTGATCTCACTTTTATGGCTTCCCTTATTTTGTTTTTGTACAATTTGTCTTGTTAGCTTCTGCCTTTCGTAGTTAAGTATTGTTTGTGGGTGGCAGCTGAACCCAAGAACCATGTGACTGGCTCCTTTTATTTTGAGATTTAAGCCATTTGCCTTTTTGATGAGGCAGTTTTTCTAGCACACACACAAAAAGATGTCGAGCAAGGTCTTTAAGCATAGCAGTCTTCCTCCACTGAAACATCTGTGATAAGATACTAAGTAAAAATTTTCTGCTGGACTACAGTAGAGACACCTGTACATGTATTTTTCAACTGGTGCTGTCGAATTTTCTCTTCAGTTAGGTCAACTTTTAACAGTGCGAGGATAAATTAAAACAGGAAAAGGTGACACCAGCATTGAAGTTTTCCATAGGAATAAAAAGCACATATACATCTATGTACGTGACTCTTACCTGATTGCGAAAGAAACTGAAATTGTTTAACATTGACACAACTCTTGTTTTCTGCATTTGCATGCACTTTTTGGAAGGCTTTTCCTTTTCATCGTTGAGAATGCTTTTGTAAAGTTGACCGCACAGTCCAGCAGAATGCTGATCACAGAAAGCTTCCACTTCAGCCGGATCATAAAGGCGTTTACCACCCTTGTGTATAGTGCTTGTTCAATGCTCTATGAAACTGCTGAACATATTTGCCAAATTCTGGTTCTCCTACAAATGTTCACAGCATTTTCATTTATATCAACAGTCAAGTACAATACTATTATCTTGATACCTTCATTAAAAATGGGTTAGCAGTTCAGCCCTTTTGTTGTTTATTAGCACTGATTCATCATCTTGAACTGGATATTTCATTATGTTTTGATGAATACAACTACCATGATTCCCTGCAGGCGCGTCTCGTAGGGGAAGTTGGCTATTGACTACACTTTAAAATAAGGAACTGCGTTACAACCGCGTTACAAAAAAAAAAAAATGTTCAAGTTAAGAGGTTAAGATGATGTCGGCAAGAACATTCGAGCAATAATGGGAAAAATTAAGTTACCAAAAAAACCTCATGGCATGGTAATATTTTGAGTACAGTTAAGAAGACCTTATCGAGGCTTTAGCTCTCAAGCTGACCCCGTGCACGTGAGGGAAAATTGAACTTGAAGTTATCCATATTTCAATTAAAACAGACGTTTTGCGTTAGTTAAAAACACAATAACACACGCTTTAAGCATTCTTACGAGGTTTGACATTAACCATCCCGAGAAATTAAGGCTTGAGAAATTAATCGCAATGAACTAAAGTGAGATGTTTTAAATAGTATTCCAAAAGTTTCCGTGCTATGAGTAGATTTTTAAGAAATAATTTTTGCACTTAATGCTCGAATTTTGAGCGGAATCCGTCTTAACATCTGTAACTCAACTATTAATATACTGAGATGTGAATTCGATCATTTCAGGGGTAACATCCACATTATCACTAATATACCAAGGCATGATCTAAATCAAACAAAGTTCATAACCGAAAGTGGGACAAAAGGTCTTCTGTCTGTTCTTCATTTAATACTATTCTTGATAGTTGAAAGGTAAAAAACAAAAACACTAAATCAGTACAACACAACCAAGCAGTAAACCTTTGTCCAAAAACAGGGAATGTGTTATTAATCTTCGGACTGAGAAGGGGGTACTCCCCAAAGATACCAATGTGGGTACATGTTAATTGCGTGTTGTGAGTTACTGAACTACTTAACAGATCTGCAAACTGTTGAAGTGGATCATCACCAGATCGTTATCTTTCCACCTTATCTTTCTACATAAAGACAGATTATGTCTCAGCGAAATTTGTCTGAGCACCTCGTCGTTCAAAACGTGCAAAAGGAGATAATTAATGTTTACGAATAACGGAGTCGTCGAATAACCCGCCTTGCCTCGTTTTCATAATGCGACGCATACCTAGATGCACTAAAACAGCGATTGCCCACATTCGTCCAGAGGCTAGGATTATGTGTGCCTAAAATGTCGACATGGCCAAGCGGACTTTCATTCAGGCCTAAGAATCGTTCCTTTTTTCTTCCTTCGTCGTAATGAACCTGTTCTTGAGGCAAGTAAGAAATTTTGGCCGATGTTATCCGGTCATTTGTGAAAGAGCAAGATGAATAGAATACTCCCGAGGGATAATCACAAATTGGCGCCTCACAGTCTACAAAACGTAAAGTTTTCTTTTGAAATTTAAGAAAACCTTCGCTGAAATATGACCCGTAACGGAGATTTCTTAGAAAATCACTGAACCCAACCAATTCTCCACTAATAACTACTCAAAACTGAGAAATAATTAGCTTCTAAACTATCGCTAAGATCTTTCTTATTATTAGCGTTATCACGGTATCTGTAATTGATCTACGCCCAATAGTTAAAAATAACACTACCACCAAAAGACAAGACGTAAAACATTCTAGAAGTCGGCTTCCATTTGCAACTCCTATAACATCTTTAGTGATTTTTGACCCGAAACGAAGATTTCTTAACAAATCACTGAACCCATCCAATTTAATGTCCTACATATAGTGTTAAATAAATCGACCTCCTGCCATTCTACTCGTGAATGTCAGTCAGTTTGAGACCGCCCGATCAGTAGAGGTAAGTTTTACAAATTCAAGATTACATAGCCTCTTCTTTCAGTCTTGCTTGTTTTTATTATTCAAGGGACTGGTTTTATCGAAAGAAACACATTTCTCGCTGTTGAAGACTGAGATTTCTACACTATCTAAAAGAACTATTGTTTTCTCTGACTCGCTCACCGACAGAGCGCGCAAGTTTCTTTGGAATCCTTGTTCAAAAGATTATAACAAACCACGGCACATTTTATCTTTTGTCCAGTTCAAAATTGTCTCCGGTGAGACTGCTCGCTTAATAAATCCACAAAATCGTCCAAAATCACCTACGAAACTACTGGATTTAAATCCGCTTGACTGCGGCTCCATTATACCGAATACCTTGCAATGGCGGTTGAAATATTTCGTAATAGTAATTCTATAAGATTTCGACTATATCGCTGACCTGGATGAGGCAGCTCCATTCTTAGGTGAAAAGGAACCTCCATGCACCGAGTCAAGTGCACCTGTAATCAAATGATTAAAATTTTGGTGTCGCTTATTTTTTAATTAAATTTCAGTCCTCTCCCATAGTTTTGGCAACTTGGCTTGTTTGCTGTTTGTTTTATTTGACTTGAAGATATTCTATGACTAAACAATCATGCAATTGATATTCGTTCCATGAACTTTAGATGTTTTTCATTTGTGCGAGAGTTTCTGTCATATTTTTCTTCAGTTCAGACACCCCTCTATTTTTCCACAAACTGGTGACATGTTTTCTAATTCATCATTATTCTAGCCCTTTTAATGTCAACGCGTAGCAATGACTTTGGAAACTTTCCGTAAATTGCAATCAATTTAACCAATGTCAAACAATGGGTTGAGACGAATAATCTGTTTGGACGAGCCTGAACAAGTTATTTACTCTGTTAACTTGTTATGTTTTTGGAAAGTGGGTGGAAAAAAAGGTGTTAAAGCGAAGCATCAATCAATTTTAGAATTAAAGTGAATAGTGATTCACTTATTCAGGTGAACGATCCTGCCGTTTCTAACATACAGATTTTGACGGATTGGTGCAAAACAATTTTATTAAGATCAAGTTTTGGTACATTGTGTTCGATCTAAAGGCCCGCCTATTACACGCAGGAAACATTCCAGCGAATGATTGCAACATTGTCACACATAACATGTTGCACTAATTTGGCCAAACTGTACCATCCAACATCTTGCAACAGGCTGGCCAAACGTGTGCGACATGTTGAGCGTAACAATGTTGCAATATGTTACGTTAAAACGTGCGTGTGTTTAGCCGGACCTTAAACGTTGGAAAAGCAACCCTCCATTATTCTAAAGACCTCTTGAGGATGTTCGATTCGCATCGACAGTTTCTAATGAACTCACTGAGCCAGACAAGCAACTAATTTACAAACCACGAATAGAAGATGAACTCATTTTCGCCTGTTT